GGGTGTAGCCTGGCTGCTATATGGTGTCAAGAGAATCTCAACATGATTACCCGTGCCGAACCAAACACGTTGTACAAATTACTGCGGTCAATTTCAGGATCTGCATGCTTTCTGCCAAACCAAACACGTTGTACAATTTCAGGACCTGCTTCCAAGGAAGATCGGATACGATATGAAATGTAAAAATTGTCAACCGAGCGGTAAGGCCGACTCCACCGCGCGAAACCATCCCGTCCGGCCCCGTCTGTTTAGAATAAAAGGGACAAATCAGACGACCCAACACGCGATGGTCCGTTTTGTATTCGGGTTGATCCATTTCGAGTGCAAACATGCACCGGGTTTGGGTCGCGGCGGACAGCAAACGGATGCGATGCTTGTCCGTGTCGGGGGCGCGTGGCAGGCGGCCACCTACCTCCCACCCGCCAACACCAATGCATACGCGCAGCCGGCCTCATCTGTCATGCGCCCAGGCGCACGGTCGCCGTCCTTCTTAAATGGGGAGGCCGTGGACCGGTCGTCGTCCACACTTCCCACTCCAGCCCGCTGCCTCCTCGAAACCCGACACCCCAAACCCTAGTCTCTCCCCGTCGTCGAGCTTGCCAGCCGGCCGCCTCGCAGCCATGGGGTTCTGAAACCACGGCCGCAAGGGGAAGCACGACCGTGAGGCCGGCTCCTCCTCGGGACACCGCCGCGGCTCCGTGAAAGAGGGGGCCGCCACGCGACCGCGCCGGGCTGCCGCGCCTACCCCATTCATCATCGGCCCTAGGACCGCCGGCGAGCGCGACCGACGGTACATCAACGCGGATGTATGCCGACGCTATTGGGAGACGAGGACGCCGGTCCTGTGGAGCGACCTCCATCTCCCCAACAACTGGCACCTCTCGGTCGATCGGGTCCCGATCCCGCCGGTCCCGATGAGCAGCCGTGCGCGTCGCGATGAGATCGAGTGCCGCCGCCGCCTCCTCCCCGATGACCTCTAGTACGATGATAGGTACGCCTCCTACTCCGTACTCTGGGACACCTGGCTACACGACGAGCACGACATGCGGCGCGCCTCATACTTCGTCAGCACGGCATCGGGTCCGCGACGGCCACGTCGGGAGGTGCGCGGCCTCACGCCAACGCCGCCACCTTCCCCCTCTCCGTCGCCACCTTCATCTCCTCGCATGACAGCGGAGGAGGAGGCCCGGCTCATGCAACGTGTCATGGAGAACTCCATGAACACGCACGATGAGCGCCAATGGCTAGGCCTCGAGGAGACGATGGCCCTCTCTGCGGCCGGCGACGTCGCCATCCCCGAGCTGGAGATGGCGATGGCGGAGGAGGTGGTGGAGGAGGAGCCGGTGGCCGCGTTCCACCTGGCCCTGGTTGGGCAGCGCTGGAGCTGGTCGTGCTCGGCTCCGGAGACGGCCGACGCCGTGGGGGTCGCAAACTGGTGCCCCACGCCGACGCGGTCATTGGAGCGGGACGCGTCGCCATGGGAGGAGGTGGTGCAGGCACCTCCCGCCTTCCAGTCTGTCCCCATCTACCACGGACTGTCGGCCCACCTCTGGACGCCGCCGGACTACGTCGACCTCGTCAGTGACGACAACGACACCGGCGGCCAGTGAAGACGGCGACGGCCATGACATCGGCGGGCACGGCAGGAGCGCGCTGGCGGCCTGAAGACGACTTTTTTTATGTTAATTATGGCAATGTGAACCGTGGAACTGGGCCGTTTTGTGACCGTTATGTTTAATTATGTTTTATGTTTTTATATTTTGTTTTTATTTACTTTTTTCGGCCTTTTATTTTAGTTTTTATGTTTTTTTAATCACGTTCATCCCGAACATGATTTGAGGTGCGGCCGCGCGTTGGGCGCACCCACGACCCAACGGACAGCAGCGGATATGGACGAATCCATTGCCGTCTCAAACGGACGGAATCCGGCCAAACTAGACGTCCATTTAAGATCGTGCGATGGAGTTGGCCTAAAATCTCCTGATATTATATTGCTACCACTTCCATCGACCAGCGACAAGGTAAGATCGTGCTGTAGACACGGACATATCTATGCGTCGCCGTTGTGCCCTAAAACGAAAAGCAGATTCGTGCTGCTATAGCTTGAGGTACGGCTGCCGACGACTTTGCCGATTCCCATTTCTCCCCACACCGTCCCACCCAAGCATGGACAATACATGTTAAAACACAAGTCATTGATTCACTTTTTTTTGAAGAAGAAAGTGCATGTCGCGCCGTTGAATAATCCCCGACTCCTAACCCCAAAGGTGCACCCAATCTATCCACCGAGTGCAGATCCGAGGTTCCCCTCGTCTCACCCCAGTATGGTGGCTGGAGGTGTACAATGGGAGAGGACTAAGGCCAACTCCACCGCGCGACCCTATTTTGTCCGTCCCCATCCGTTTGGGGTAAACAAGACAAACGAGACGGCTCAGCGCACGGCCTTAAATGGACAAATGTCCAGATTCCGTCCGCTTTCGACCCATCTTCGGTCCAAACTTGCGCTCGGTTTGGGGTGAAACGGACGCGCGTGGACGGCCTCGACGCACGCCATTGTCCCTCCCGTGGCCCGCCTGTCGGGGACACTAGCAGTCTCTCCGCTCCCAAGGCTTCACCCTCTCTCCCCGCCCCGTCCTGCCGCCGGCATCGCCGCTATTCTCCGGCCGCCTCCTCACCGCGCAGCCCCCCCCCCCTTGCCGTCCATACCAAACCACGTCTCGACATGGCCGCCACCACGCCTGCGCTTCCGCCGTAGTTTTGGTCGTCGGTAGGAGGAGGTTTGGCCGTCGCCGTCCTTGCCGGTGGCAGAGGGGACACGACTGCCGGCGACGTACCACGACGGCCGAGGCAGATTCCGACAAGAGCTCCAGAGCGGCCAGTAGCCGGCCGGCAACCACCCCTGCTGCGTCGAGGTGATCATCGCGGCCTCTTCGCCACCACGACCGCAAGGTGTTCGACCTTTTGCCAACAAAGGTATGGACAGTGGAGACGAGTTTTTCTTCATCACTTTCTTTGTTCATCGGATGATTCGTCGTCAGATAATGACGATCTCGTGGTGGCTGCACTGGTCGTTCACGACCATATTCAACGGCAGCTTCCTCGGTACAGGGGGTCAGTCCCTGGGCGTGCTCCCAACCTGAACCGCAACAGGGAGAGAGGCCACGCCCTGCTCTATGCCGATTACTTTGCCAACACCCCGCTCTTCAAGCCGGATAAATTTTGTCGCCGTTTTCGTATGGCAAGGCATGTGTTCAATCGTATTCGAGAGGGAGTGGTTGCTCATGACCCATACTTCGAGTGCAAGACGGATGCCCTTGGCAAGCTTGGATTCTCCTCCTACCAGAAATGCACCGCGACCATCCACATGCTTGCATATGGAATTTCAGGCGATCTGGTGGATGAGTATGTGCGTATGAGTGAGACAACATGTCTGATGTCAATGTACAAGTTTTGCCAGGCTGTGATCGAGGTCTTTGGCGCAGAGTACTTGAGGCAGCCAACTGCCGCTGATACACAGAGATTGTTGGCGACCAACGCAGCTAGAGGCTTCCCAGGTATGCTTGGCAGCATAGATTGTATGCACTGGGAGTGGAAGAAATGTCCATTTACTTGGCAGGGCCAGTACAAAGGGCAATGTTAACGGATGCACTGTCATATTAGAAGCGGTGGCATCACAAGATCTTTGGATATGGCATTCTTTCTTCGGCATGGCGGGTTCTCACAATGATATCAACGTGCTGCAGCGTTCTCCGGTCTTCACGAGGCTTGCAGAAGGCCACTCCCCACCTGTCAACTTTGAGATCAACGGCCACCATTACAACAAGGGATACTATCTAGCAGATGGTATATATCCTCAGTGGTCAATTTTTGTGAAGACAATCTCGAAACCCCAAGGTGAGAAGAGAAAGAGATTTGTCCAAATGCAAGAGAGTGTTAGAAAGAATGTGGAACGTGCTTTTGGTGTGCTTCAATCCCGGTGGGGTATCGTTCGAAACTCTGCATTGTCATGGGATGAAAGGAAGCTTTGGGAGGTGATGACTGCTTGTGTGATCATGCACAACATGATCGTCGAGGACGAACGTAATGAGAGCATCTTCGACCAAGGATTTGATTATCAAGGTGAAAATATTGAGCCCTTGCATCAAGACCCGGCCACATTCGAACAGTTTGCCCAATTCCACCGTGAGATGCGTGATTGGCACACTGATGTGAATCTTCAAAATGACTTAGTTGAGCACGTGTGGGATCACATTGGCAACCAATAGATGTATTTGTCTATTTTATGTTCAGTCAAGATAATTTCAATTTGGTTGTAAAACTATTCTATTAAAGACAATTTCAATTGGGTTGTAAAGCAATTTTAATTTTCAGACAAATATTTGGGTTCAAAACTAGTTTTGATGTAAATTTGGGCATTTTTTGTCCCTAACGGACAAGATGGGGCAAAAAGATGCGGCCGCGCGCACGGCCACCGCATCCCAGGACACGACCCCAAATCCCTACCCAAAGGGACAAAAACCGGACAAATCAAACGTCCGTTTGGGGTCGCGCGGTGGAGTTGGCCTAACGGAGGAAAGGGAGAAAGCATCTCGTGGTAACCTACCACTCGGTGAAAACTTAGAAACTCCAATACGGACCATTGGATCTGCAATCTAATGTCCAATTCATCCACCTACCATTCCGTGGGTTTTACAAGAAAAAATACACGGGCTTTGTGTAGTACTACAATAACTAGCCCTAGGGTGCTTGCATGCAAAAACACAGATTCAATCAGCAGCACAAATTCCAGATCCAACGGCCCCGTCTGAGTTTCCAAGTTCCTCCGATGAAAGGAGCTGCATATACCAGCTCGGTGATAAATTAGCTGAATGTGACTCCAGAGTATTGGACACAGAAGTTTTACAGTAACCTATACTAGTACACTAAGCCTTCGTCCTCAACACAACATAGTAGTAACAGAAAAACTGCATCAGAACATTACTGAAAACTTTATATCGGGCTCAGGAAAGTTCGGATATCACTCGCTCGCACTTCTCCTCAAGGATATTCACGGCCTCTGTGAAGAGCACCTCTGGCGGTAGAGATCCGGTGGACTCGATTGTAACTGAACCAGCAGAAACAAGCAACGAAAAAACACTGATTAGCAGCAGGCTAGAAGAATCGGAACCCCTGCAAAAAAAGAAGAATCAGAGCCATTATAAACAGGTCGTTTGCTACTTACAAATGAAGTGGTCTCTAACGCGCCGTAGCTCTACTTGATCATCAGCCAGTCTGACACATTCCCTACAAAGGGTGCATGCTCTTGGCTTTGCAACAACTGCTCTCTTCTCCCCTGGACAATGGAGATACAAGGGGTGAACATAAGCTTCGGGCAAGAACGCAGCTTGGAAAAATAAAGGCACAACATACGGGCACCTATAAACACTAGACACTTTCCATGTTGACATCACGCGGATTATCTAATTGCTTTTGATCTCTTGACCCTTATTAGTTACTTGTTGAACTTTGAACCAATTTATTCCCATGTTGTCTATCTAGTACAAAATGAATGTTGAGGACATTTGGCAAGTTAGAAATGCTTCAAAAACAACCATCTTAGTGATCTAAACTAAAGTAATTATTAGGGTCCAGTGGGTGCTTGAGTCCTAGTTAAATGCCAACATAAATGGACTAAAGTGCTCGTAAACATCCAAATAAATCAGAACTGGTCAGACAGGCCAACAATAGCAGGAGTTATACACACTAAAGACAACTTGGGACTGCAGAGTTGAAGTTAACCTTTAGAAGATACCTCTGGAGTTGAATTGAACTAGAAATTGTGGACCAAGTTAGTTGACCTATATAAAGGACTAGTGTGTAACCATTTTGTTCAAGCAATTAAGAAACAGAAGTTCCAATAAGCCTCAGGAACAAGCCCTGCCACTGGATTACAGAGCGCGGTCTTTCTGGAACATTATCCCCAATTTACCCATTGCGGACAAAGGTCCATAACAACTTAGTGTCAAGCCAATTGCTGCTCTGCAATTAGAGTACTCATGGGTTCATTCCTGCACTTCAAAAGCTTTCGTGGCCACCTAGAATCCATATAATTTTGCGGATGCTGTCTAACCAAAAATAGCTAAAATGTTAGTGCCTTGCTCTTCTTTTTTTTTTTGCTTCGAATCCCAAAGTATTAATCGCCTGTTTACAGAGTGTGCTATTGCCAAATTATGGGGGAGTGAGCTTCTGAATTGGTTGGGAAGATACTGGTATGTACTATGGTTGAATTGCTAGTCCCTGTTTGGTGATTCCAAACTTACACCTATGATATTATATCTTCAGCAGTGATGTGATTTGAATGGAAACTGAGAAATTATTCACTGTTCCTGAGGATTGCTGCTTCCAGATGGAGGTACACCATGATAGAGATAGAGACGGGGTCAAGTGCCAGGAGATTGTTGTGCTGGGGCTATACGTTACAACTTATTGGGACTTTGGAAACGTCAATGGGGTCACAGAAAGATGGCTGGCGCCATGGGAAAGGAAATGCTACCCTGGAAGAACTGAGAGACCCTGCACATGCTATGATGGTTATTTGCAGCAACAATGGAATGTTTGTGTACTGTGGGCGCCATAGGAAAGGAAATGCTCAAGGGAAATGTGGTGACCCTGGAAGAACTGAGAGAGACCCTGCACATGCTGTGATGGTTATTTGCAGCAACAATGGAATGTTTGTGTACTGTGTTTTTGTTTCTGTAGAGCTAGCGGTGCCAGGACTCTAGTGGCTATAATGATCTAGTAGTCATGGAGGTTGTGTCCATCTTCAGCGTAGTGGTGGTATAAAACAGCTCAAACCGAGGACTGCAATCAATTAGATCTTCCATTTTCAATGGAAATGAAACTAGGCCTAGGACTTTTTATTTGTAAAATTTAGGCAATATCACAAAATGATGATCTGGTAGACATGGTGTTACTAGGATTGACAAACCCCTCCCATGCTACTCAGATACAACAGTCAATAAACAAGCACACCAACAGCTACTAAAACTTCTCAGCCTCTCAAAATAGGAAGTCAAAGACAAGTTACCCTTTCCCAGGTCTTCAATGTCAAAAACATTAACTGGGCATTTTTTCACTAGCTCCTCTGCATCACCATTTTTAATTTCTTTGAGAAGAACAACCTACATGATAACAAAACAATCAGCAGTGGAGACGAATAGTTTGCAGTTACTCGACATATAATTACTGGAAATGCCATAACACGAATCTTACCTCAGGGAGCATCCTGTACCAGGCTGTAGCAACTGGAGACCACTTCGCATGAACTTTCCCCACTCCCTTAACAGCATGTGCCTCAAGCTCAATAGCCTGAAATAGAACAAAAAATATTAGAACACATCATGATTGACTTTTAACACAAATGGCACTCCCTGAAAATGCGTAAAAGAATTTTAAATTAGCATCAAAAAATTCTATTAGGCATACACTGACTCACATTAACTTAGGCTTGATTATTTAAATCATGACAAAAGGTTATTCATCTAAATGATGGTACCAAGTAATGTAACTATTAGTAACAAAATAACCTGTCCTGGCCCAAGCCTGGCGATTGTTATGTCATTATACTTCACACCGAGAGGCCTTTCAGAGGTATTCTGTTGGCTTTGACCAAAGGATGTGTAGGTCCTCTGATTGTCCCCAGATTGCGCAGGAGATGCCATAGTTAATTGGCTGCCTTCTGGCAACCACTCCAATTGACCAGACTTAACTGCGAGCCAAGAAAGCTGTAAGCAACTGTATACTGCTAAAGCCCAACCATAACACATGAATAAAATTGGATAATGCTAACAGTATATACTACCCCTCCGTCCCAAAGTACGTTTTATTTTGGGACGGAGGGAGTATATAGAAACAACAACAACAACAACAACATCAACAAGCTAACAAAACTGAAATGTCTAATTAATCATTGACATAAGATGCAGTTATTCAGCAAAGTAACTTATTGATGATTGATTAAGATAAGAGATTATGTGATTGGGCACTGCATGATTTCTAAGTCAAACAATGTTACAAGAATGGACATAAGCAGAGGTACAGTACCAAGAACCAAATATCCAGTATTTGAATCTTTGTTCTAATACATACCAGTAAAATAGGTTTGCTTAGGTGCTTTAGGTTGTACACAAGATATTCAAAAAGTAAAAGGCATATATGCATTTAGTTTCAAAAGCAATGAACAGACATGATACAGAAGATAAGCTGAGGCTAATTATAGACGAAGAAATAATTTGTTGATGATATACATTTGAAAGACAAAGTTCCCAATAAGAAAATGGTAAGATGATTGGAAACTGTACTAGAGTCCGGCTTGCAGGCAAAGAATATATACCTGTAAGCCTTTGGGAACCCTTTTCACATGAAACATGCAGTTTGTACACAATAGTGTTCCTTTCATTTGGGACATCATCTACAAAAGAAAAGAAAAGAATAAGCTGGATGCAACCACATTTATGAATGTGAAACTACAGAAATTTATGACACTGACCAGAGATATAATCAAAAAGCCTTGGGTCAGCATCAAGTGGAATAAGGCCTAGTCGATGTGAAAGGACCTCGTCTGCTATAACTGAGGTATTGTCAACCATGAAGACTTTCTCAATGGCCATTGTAGGAACCTATGAATTAATATTACACAGTACATATATAATGCTTAGATGTTAAACAGGAAACATATTGGAATACCCAGCAAATAGTTTTTGAGATGGTGCAGATGACAACAATGTGCATACCTCTGCAATGAGGATTCTCCGGAAAGCATTAGCTATCGATGCATCAACGCCAATCATATCAAACTCCATATCCTCATCTGTAAGTCGATTTATCTCGATTTTAAAGTTCTTGCAGAACTTCTCAACTGAGACACTAGTATCAACTCCCATAGCAGCAAAAGCACCCGAGTATTGAAACCCTTCTGTCTATTGAAACATAAAGAGAAAACATAAAAATTTATATATGAGCTATCCATATAATCAGCTGACAGCCTTCAATAACAAACAGAAAAAAAATGTTTCAAAAATCATATGAAGATCATAAATGCCCAATCTGTTCTTAAAGTAGCGACATTTTGCCAGTATAACTGGACAATTATAACACAGCATATAAATACTGCAAAACTGGAAAAAATGATTTTGGTTTGCAACCAAATTCCTCCAAGTAAATACCTCACCGTGCCAACCTTTTCCATCTAAGCCGAACACAAGTAAACAAGCAGTGATATTTAAGAGAACATGTTCAAGCCTTTTTAACAGAAGCAAAATAGCACATCAAAACGGCGATGGGAACCAAAATCACCTTCATTTCAAAATATTATAATAATTGGACAATTGGATGCTAAGAGAGAATGATTTATGTTCCTACGAGAAATTAGGTTATTACATAAGAAGTCTACACTACAGCGGACATGATTCCTGCGGGAAAAAAATGTCACCGCAAACAATTTAAGCGCATAAAACACCGCACACGGGCAGAATAGGTGTATGAGAATCACTAAGACGTAATGAAACAAAAGAACGGGGTAGGGAGTAGATGAATACATGAGTGGGGGCATCGGCCTTGCAGAGAACACGGGTGCGCTGGAGCTCAAGAAAGTCTGGCAATGAGGAACCATCGGGGCTTTCCATCCCCGCGGGAGCGAAGCGAGGCTTGGGGAGGGGGCGGCGGCCGTGGCCTAGTGGCGGCGGCGCGGTCGGAGACGGGAGAGGACGAGGGCACGAGGCGGCTGGGTAAGGAGAGAGAGAGAGAGAGAGGGAGAGAGAGAGAGGCTGAGCGCGCGGCGGCGGCGGCGGGGCAAAGGTTCTTCTCCTCTACAGGGAGCAAAACCCTTCTGCGCTCGCTCCTTGGGCCCCGGGGTCAGCTGCCCTGAGAGCTGTCTTGGTGGGCCGTGCGTCCCGTGCTGCCTGATGCCTTGCTGTAAGCGGATTAGCCTCTCATCCACCGTACAATCTTGATCCAACGGCTGTTGTGCCCTCATCTTACATCCTAGTTATTTCACGAATTTCGTTTAGTTAAGAAATCACTTCTTGGACCGCAAAATGAGGGGTGCAGCTGTCATTGGATAGAGAGGGCTAAAGCAACTCTAGCAGAGTCGCCACATTGACGATCATCATAATGCATATGAAACGTGCTTCATACGGATATAAAGGTTGTCGAGATGACATCTAAACACAGTGTTATCATATCTCAACCTTCATACTTTCCCCCGTTTTCTCATTCAAGCACTTAGATTCTCTCCAAAAAATAAATGTTTAACATCAAGAAATCATGGACATATATAGTTTTAGAGAAGTTGCAAAAACAAAAATATGAACGAGCGACATGTCCAAATCACATCTGGCGTTGACGATCGTCATAATGCATATGAAACGCGTTTCATATGGATATAGAGGTTGTCGAGACGACATCTAAATACAGTGTTATCATATCTCAACCTCCATACTTTCCCCGTTTTCTCATTCAAGCACTTAGATTCTCTCCAAAAAATAAATGTTTGAACATCAAAAAATCATGGACATATATAGTTTTAGAGAAGTTGCAAAAACAAAAATATGAACGAGCGACATGTCCAAATCACATATGGCGTTGTGTGCACCAGCCCTTCCGTCAGAGTGTGCACCAACCCCTCCTCCTCCGGTATGAGTAGTGTGCTCTTCTTCGAGGTTTCTCGAATGTATGATGATATCCCGCGTCTTCTCCCAAAATTCTTGAGCCCCTAAAGCCATTGTGACCGGATACATCGTGCTGAACTGATTCTTCTTTTAAACGGGGGCAAAAGGTGATGAACTGATTCTGGTCGTGTAGGCGGGCATCTCTTATCTGATCCACCTTAATTTAAAGTCTACTCCACTCCATCTCTGACTTAAGTTAGAGCATCTTCTTTGTCTAGCCGATGTTTGCTCTCTTGCATAGCCTCCTATCTCAGCTTCTTCTCTTCATTATTCTTCTCCTCCAACTCAAGCTTTTATTGCTTCCTTTTCCTCTCTTCATCCCCTCGGTATGAGCGACCAGTGCTAACCGCCGAAATGATACTTCTAGGCACATTTATCATTTTCTCTTCATCAAAATCATCTCCGTCGTCATCCATCTTCAAAGAGGAATTGGCGCCCTTCACAGACTATGGATTGTCGTCCTCATACCTCATCTTCCACTTCTCATGCCCTTTCGACAAATCCAAAAAATGTAGGAGGCAAAATGGTTTGTCCTTCAACTTGACCATTTGTTTGTACCTCTTTTGAGTTGTCTCATCCTAAAACATACAAATGCATAAATTGATGAGAATGTTCAAAGTAATGGAAAGATGGCAATAAAATAACAACAAAATTGCTTACATATTGAGCAATGGTTGAACCGCTAGGAGGAGCGTGCTTCACTTGCTCCTTGCAACCCGTCGAATGGCTGCACATGTCTTGAATGCAGCCCATCATTTTGTGAGGGATTTGAGCATACTTTTATTCTCCGCCCAGGATAAAAAATGAAACGCTCCTCAATGCACTTCCAATACTCTCATGCCGATTGATTCTTCCCGACGATCACATCAAGGAGATATCTTGTCGTGCCCAGACAAACACAACATTCTCATCAGGCTTAAAGTTATTTATCCGAATTGCCTTCTTCTTTGATGAGTCGGTGGCATCGAAATGAGCAAATTACATATCTTGGATGGAATCATGATAGGAAAGCGACAACGATGCGCCCTCGAAATCAACATCGTTTGTTCCGAATTCACCAATCATTATATTGAAAAAATCATCATTGTTGAGGGCCAATTCTCCCAAATTGAGGATGTCACCACTAAATCACAAACATTGCACATTTTCCAACAATTTTGCACGGCTACCTCGCGTTCAATCAAACAAAACCCTATTACACGGCAAAAAAAAATGTTTTTTTACCTCATGGTCGTTGCTGGTCCAACACACGATTGGGAAGCCGGCCTTGTTTAGTCAGTTGCCGGAGGAAGCAAGGAGGGGCAAAGGCACCCGCAACGCCCTTCCTCTTCTTCTAGTTTGGTTCCTTTGATGAGGACCGCCACAACACTCCAGGCGAAGGCAAAGGCACCTCCGCTCGAGACTCTTCACCGGTAGGGTAGAGGCCGGTCGTCGCGACTATTGAAGTCGCTGGGTCCGATTCCAAAAACAAACCTCTAGACACAGACATATCTATGTGTTGCCGTTGTATTTCATAAAGGAGATTCCTGCTTTACCGATTACCCGCTTGTTTCCGTTGCTCCACGACTTTCACCATGGAGGCCACCCAAAAGTCCTTGCTAGGTCTCAGATATCGGGATCACATGATCCATTTTCTAAATAAAAAAATCACTAATCTATTTTTTCTTTGAAAACGCCCTGCTCATGTATATGACTTAATGTTTAGGGAAGTGCATCGATGAACCCGAGTAGGTATGAAGTCACTTTGAAAAACACATTTCTAAATGCTAAAAAAGTTTGAAAAAGGTTGCACGAATACATCTTCATGTTTTATGTGCGTGCATAAAGTTTCATGGCAAAATTAACTTTTTTGTAGCCTGTGTAAAAAAGACAAAAATTATGTCATAAAATGCTATTTAGAAGCATTGAAATTGGTCTTTTTTGCTAGACAAAACGGAAAGTCATTTTTTTCACAAAACTCTATGCCGCGCACACATTTGTGAACATGTATGCGTGGATTTTTTTTTACATTTTAAAACATGTTTTAAATGCATTTTTCAAAAAGTGGATATATATGCCCATGGGTTCAGGACGTGCCGACTCGTGATGTTTGTTTCCAGATTTCAAGCTTACCAACCGCAAGTTTGTTTCACCGAATAGAAGATTTTACCATTTCTCTCCACACTATCCAAGCCTGGGCAGTACGTGTTAAAGCACGAGTGCCTGATTCACACTTCTACTGGATCCGCAACGGTGACAACAGGTATAACTTAAAAACTATGCCTCATCATTTGCTGCATAACTGTATGTCGTAATCAAGGTTCTCCAGAAGAAGAGGAAAAGCCTAAACTAAACTAGTTTACAAAATTAGCAAATTACATGAAAATCTAGAAAAGTCATTGGTTATCTTGTCCTAGACCCGCCGATTCGTCATTCCGAGATAAGAAGTTGGCATTAAATCACAACCACTGAAAAGCAGGCTGAAGATTTCCTGAAGAAAATCCCAGTCATGTCCTCAGATTTTTTTTTCTGTAATGCGATGACCTCAGCTGGAAAGAATCCGCGAGAAAATGTCTTGTGCATACTGGAGGAACATCTTGAAACCTTTTTGTACATCCGAAAATCTTTCTCATGTTGTGTCAGCAAGATACAGGATGGTGAGATAGGACATAAGATAAAATCTTCAGGCACAAGCACCAGTCAAACTATAGCCCAGAATTTCTTCCTACAAATCAACACCTGCTCCGGCCTGTTTTCCTCATTTTCCAACGTGTGAATGGTGACATCCCATAGGAACTTTGGTGCGAGATCACTGATTCTTGAGAGAGTGGTATTCTCATCTCTAATAATGATAAAACCCTGCATGTCCAAAATTATTGTAATGCAGAATGGATTATTGTCTATGAATTTAATTTCCATCACTATATTATCATATTTGATCTCTGGTATTCAAGAAAGAGAAACACAGAAGCTCATGCGACACAAAAATATTTCTAAGTGGTGAGAAAGGTTGCTTGCAATTTATACTGCATTAGGTACAAATCATTTCTTGCACATGGCCAATTGTTATACATTGAGAAACAGGCTGATTAGACCACATACTATCGTATTTCCCTGGACAAATCATTTCTTGCACATGACCATTTATGATATTTCAATCAGTAATTAAGTGGCCTTGCACAAAACCGTCATAAGGCATGTTCCACACCATTTGGGGAAATTTAAAATCAAATTGAAAATTAGTCCTTAACAAATCTAGTAAAATGATTAAATAAAAACCTGACTGATGGCATGTTCAAACATTGAAGGAGCAGTTTTCACTAGAAAAATGATGTGCTCCCTCCGTTCACTATTATAAGGCGTTTTGCATATTTCAATATGGACTACATACGGATTGAAACCAGTGAACAAACACACTAAAATGCGCCTATATATATCTGATTCAGAAAAAAGTTAGAACATCTTATAATAGTGAACGGAGGAAGTACTTCTTTAAGAAAATAGATCCGATGACAAGAGAAGACATTTCCATTCTATTTGTCTGTGAAGATACCTCAAATATTAGATATTTAAAGCAACAAGACTGCTTAGGCATCTATTGTGACATGAACATGAATCACTCTTTCAATGAACATGAATCACTCTTTCAAAAATTAAAACCGTTGGAAGAAGGAAGAAGAAAAATACTGTTCTTACAAACATTGGCAACCTAGATATGATATGCAATGTGTAAATACATATTTGAATCAAGGCCACATATTTCGAGTCTAACTTTGACCGTCGAGTTGGCCATTAAAACATATGCTATATACTTATATGTACTAAAAAGTATACCATTGTAAACTTTTTTCAAATATGAATCCAATTATATACTTTGTGTGGCATATAACTCATATTTTGTTGGTCAAAACAACGGCCAAAGATAGACACAAAATACAAGGTAGTTGTGCATATAAAAAGGAGGGAGTATATATCAATATTACCTGTGGACGAATGATGCGATCTATTTCTAGCATGATATCTTCCAATAAGCAACCTCCTACATGACCTTGATAGTGTGAAAAGAGGTAGAAAGCATGTAGCAAATCATATGACCTAGGATATGTTGAGAATGGCTGGCACCTGCAGCATAATGGTTTTTGTTTCATCATAACAAGGGAAGTAGATGTTTATATGTTCAGAAGAAATACTAACCAGTCATGGTAAGAACCAATTAACCCCCGGTCATAGATAACAGGCAGTGTGTTGATGGTTGTATAGGGTACTATATTCATAATCCAGACAGGATCAGTGCTTAGTGCCATAGCAAATCCACCATAATTAGCATTCATGTCCATGATATTCCGTATGCTAGTCTTTTCAACACCAAGAAATGACCAGTACTTGCGAACCTGGTCCCGCCAGAACTGGTTATTATTCTCAAACTTCTCTGGAGTAACTCCTAGAAAACATATTCCAGAAAATAGTTTATACTTATACATATGTGCTACAAGATCGAGCCAAAGATCAAACTAGATTTACCTAAAAATTATTAGTACAATTTAAATCACTGGTAAAGCTGCTGCCTTGTGACCATGAGGTCATGGGTTCAAGTCCTGGAAACAGCCTCTTACAGAAATGTAGGGAAAGGCTGCGTACTATAGACCCAAAGTGGTCGGACCCTTCCCTGGACCCTGCGCAAGCGGGAGCTACATGCACCAGGTTGCCCTTTTTTTTTTATATCTGCAATTTACAGAAATATTTGTGTGCTTCAAGAAGTAACATGTCATATTTGTGAAATGCCACACCCAAACTGTTTTCCTATCACTCAAAATTATTGTCTTGCTCAATTAAAGCCATATGTGAGCAGTAATATCAATATTTGAATAGTAAGGTCAAGGAATGTCAAATAGGACTCTGCCACAAGAATGACTTCCAGGGTTGGCAGGCCGTTAGGCAGAAAAGATAACTCTTCTCAAGGCCCCCACCGGTGTCTCCGGACTTCCTAACGTCGTTGTCAACTGCCACATCCCAACCTGGGAAATTCTTAACCCGATTCCCTTCCAGGGTCTATCTGCTGGGGTTACCCTTCCCTTAAGATTGGCTTGCTAACACTAAGGAAAGGTTGATGTTCAGTGCTCCAAAATTGGTCAGCTCTTTAAAAACCTTAATATTTGAAGGGACAAAAAAAAGCTTTAAACAACAGGCCTACGCTCAGAAAAACTCCAGCAAGCCACTGACAGTCAGCTAGTTGCAGGTACCACAGCGAATAACACTAAACTTTTTTTTTGCGGGTAGCCAATAACACTACACAATAAGCATACCTGCTTTTTTTCCGATTTTCGAACATATGTTAAACATAGAGGAATTAGTTTCACTTCAAAATTTTGAGCTCCAGAATGGAACATGGCCCAAACATGCAGAACCAAAACTAGCTCGTTCTTTCTCTTTTGTAGGCAATGGAAATGGACTGACCTATTATTTCCAAACTCCTCGAATAAAATAACAGGCGTTCAGGTCTGGAAGGTAGTTTCTGAATTTTTGATTGGTCCGTGTTCAACCGAACACAGTTCATTAATGGAGCTTGCCATGAAGAAGTGTCACCGGGGTCACAGATATTCAGGATCCCCATATCAGCATTTTTCTGTCGGCAAGATTCATCTTCAGGTTTGATCCATATAGCAGTCTGAACATGCTTAGCAATAAGCTTCCAACACATTGCTGATGTGATATTAATTAGCTTCTCCCAGATAATAGGGAAATCCTTATCTTTTCTATAAGCTGGTGGAGCAGAATATACAAAATATCCATTAGGTCGCAAAAGACGATCGACCTCTTTGAGCAATATTCCATCTGCAAAAAAAAGGAAAGAGCTACTGGTTGAATGGTGCATTTCTAAAGTAGAATTCATAAACAAAGGATCATCATCAGAAGGAACTTTTAGTAGAACAAAAATATCAATGATGAAAGAGGACACATTTTTATGCGAACCAACTTACTTTTAAGGGCATGTTACAATAAACTGAAAACAGAATATAACTAACAAGATCCCACATAAAAATACTGCCACATCTTAAATTTTGAAATGTGCTCAGCAGCTTAGCATAAACACTAACAGTATGTGAATCTTACCATTTTCATGCCAGTCAACACGACATCGGGAGCAATGAACCATTTCAAATGAATTTCCAGGATACGGTAATTGCTTTGTGGCCAACACAGAGATCATTGCACCAATCCCACGCTCTAAAGCAAACTGGATTTGATTCTCATGGCCATCTTTTGGCGCGAATGACATAGTATGAATATCTAGGGGAAGAAGATAAGCAGAGAAGCTGGCAACACCGCATCCAACATCCAAAACCTGAACAACTCCTGCAGAGCGGAGATCACCAGTACTATTGGTTGTCATATTTCCTAGCCTGCATTGATCCATTTACAGAAATTATCTCACCGCAAGATCTTTTGTACGAGATACAAGAGGGCAGCAACATAAGACTGCTATTATTTGGTGTTTATGCTTCAAGTAGGATGTTTGCTAAAGAGGAACAATATCAGATCAAAGTTGACAATGCTCAGAATTTTGCTACTAGGCATCACACCCAAATATTTATTTACAAGATATTACAAGAATCAGACCATTCTACAGCCTAAATATTAAACTACACACCAGAAAATTAGGCAAGCAATCCAAGGTTACCTCTCTATGTATTCTGATGCACCACGCTTGAAGTGAGTGCCACCGCCAGGAAACCACCAAAGCTTACCATTCTCATGCACCCAATTCTGTCCTCCTTTTACCTCAGAAAGGTGTGAATGATTCACATTACTACGCCATACATAGTCCCGACTTGTTGGCCATCTTATCGGTATCTTGTAGTCATTTGGTGGGGGCACCAAACAGAACAAGCTCTCCTCTCGTGGAGGGCATTTAGCTTCAAGATCCTCGTGTCTAGATCTATCCAGGTTCCTTAAGCTTCTTATATAGGCGGCATCGTGACAGGGAATATGCTCGTTGTATTCCAAAGGGCACACATCAAGTCCATAATCAGGAACTGAGATTGATGCCGTTCGATAAGTAACACCAACTTTGTTTGTGAACTCTGAAGCATCTGCAAGTGAAAATCAAACAGGTTTAACCTTTTTGGCATGGAAACGTTCGCATGGTGCACTAGGAGTTCAGGATAGATGCGCCACATGGTACATTTCTGGCATAAGCTGCAACTCAGAGAAATAGAAAAACAAATCTAGAACCAGGACAAACTGTCAAGACCAAACTGATAGTATAACTTTGCGTATGAACTGAAACAAACTACGTCAAGGCCCAGTAGATTTACTTCTTGTCGGAGACAAGTGTGGCAATATCGGAGAGTGAATTTCTCAAGCATTACACCTCTCGTGACAACGTCGGAGCATCTGAGATAACCTGAATAGGAAGCTTAAAGCCGCGGCGCGTATTGGACGGAACTGAACAAATAATTGCGATCCAGCGGCGGATCGACAGGGGAGGCGTGCTCTGTGGCCCGGGAGCGGAGAGTAGATAGGTACCTTGGGGATTGGAGGTACCGGGCGACCGGGAGACGGAAGGGGGCAGTATGAGCGCGGGGGAGGCGGAGGACTGGAAGAGGGTGCCGGCGTAGAAGGAGGCGGCGACGAGGGCGACGCCCAGCAGGAGCAGCTGCACCGACCGCGGCTCCGCCGACGCCGGCGAACACCACCGCCCCATTATGCTGCTCTCACTCTCACTTCCCCTTCCTCAGCGTCAAGACGATCTCTGCTTGGAGGAGATGGGGAGTTGGGACTTGGGACTGAGTTCATCCCCCCTTCCTCTATTTCTTTTTCCATTAAAAAATACTTCCTCCCTTTTAAAATACTACTGTACATGAATCTAGGTTTCATTGGGATAAATCTTTGACTATCAGTTACTCTATTAGTGTATATACTTTATGTGGCATAAAATTAATTTCATCTTAGTACTTCCTCTATAAATAAAGTAATAAACTAACAGTTTTGCTAAATCTCAGTCGACTAAAACTTAGTTACGTCTCAATCGATGCTATATTCATGAAATTTTACATTGAGATCCTTACAAATTCTTTTTTTTTCATATATTCTCTTTTTCTTTCTTACATGTTATGTCACTTGACTGAGACTTGATTAAGTCTCAATCGACCGAGACCTAACCACACCCATAAACTTATATAAAACATTTTAGACCACACATCTTATATTAGTTTACAGAGGGAATACTTATTTTATGTTTATAGTCTTATATTCCAGATCAATCTCCACTTTAATCTCCTCTTCGGCTCGAGCGCTGGGATTATTGTCTCTCTTTTGTTGTGTAGTAAGATGTCATGGCAACATCGCTCCAACGGTGATGACGGTGTTGCTTCGAAGTCCTCACAAGGCAACTTTCAATGTCGGTGGCACTTGGTCGGGCGTTGTTGAGGAGTTTAGATGTTCTTATTCCCGCCATGTTCTTTGTCGACGTGGGTCCATGGGTATTATCCGCAATATCCTCGTCACCTTCAATAGCTCCTTCTTTCAAGCCTTTGCGCGCAAGGTCATCATCCTTGATTGGTGCTACTTGTCGACTGCCTACCTAAATCCGGGTGGTGCCCCCACAATATAATGTGCGATTGTCAATCTCGTTATACACATGACTCAACGAAGATTTGATCCTCTATTGGCTTTTGCAAGTATTTCAATGATCGAATTTCTTGATGTTATCTATCACCAGCGAGAACTATGGCGACCAACGACGATAAGTTAGGATGCAGCTTTGACGAAATTTTTTAGGCATAGGTTCATGGTTGTAGTCTCACATTTGTTTATGATTGTTTTTGTGTATGTGGCTCAGTTATCCCCATTATGGGACTCGATGATGTCATTATCTAATATAAGCTAGAGTTGACTTAAAAAATGACGAGACACATTATTAAAAATATTGTGTTTGATTTATTTTAGCATTCTTTTGACTGCTTGAACTTGAGTGGGGAGTTGTGTTCAAATTTCAAAGTAAAATTGTTGCGAAATGAGACAATCCCTCTCAATTCCTTCCGAGTATTTTTCTATGAAATTTGGAAATTTAACGTTTAGTAAATGTGCCCAGGACGGCTATATCATAGGATTGGAGTTCTCCCTTTTTACACTCAATTGTACTTGACAACCTACGTGATCTCAGAACCTATTGCATACTTTTTATAAGTCCGACTTTTGTTCATCTTCTTTTTCGTTTCTCTAAAATTTGGATGTTATTTTCTGTGAGCCATTCAAAGACATCATACCGCTTCAAAATTCCCTATGTTTGAGGTTCTGTAAGAATTCATATCACTTGATATCCTATTTGTTTGTGTTATTTTGGACAAGTTTTGCAAGAACTATACTTGAATAGTTCAGTTAATTTCCCACGGTAACAGAAAAAAGCTCAAGGTCCTTCTTCAACCGCCCTCAGGCCTTCCCACAGACGAAAACAAACAAAAAAATGAAAGATGCATATCCATCGCCTCAGGTGTACAGGGTAATACCTTGATTATCACACACACACACAAAATATGTAACACCTTGAGGAGATGAATAGTAATGATTCTCAGAAAACAAAAATATATATATGCAAATTAGTTCCAAGCCTTTCAGAACTTTCTTTTATGAAAGAACAACTTTAAATTTCATAACGCATCTTAATGAGGTATGCAGGTTCAATTCACATGATTCTCGGTGTCGTCCAGCAATGTACAATGATCAAACATATCAGAATTCAGAACATGACAATTCCCACCAGAAACACAAGCTCTGTACTTTCAACATTTTTGTGATCAAAGAGAAATATAGGTGCTATTTCATGGGTATAAAATCTATCCCGGGGCTCAAGCGATCTCTCAAGAACAATGCCTACAGGATGGTGATACAAATGTACGCTGCACAGCTGAACTGAACGCATGTCAAGGTGTGGCCTGTGACAATGCAGATCCAATCTGACACATGAGAGGGTACACTGGACTGAACTCCTTGTCTCCACGGGACCTGACCTTCATCTCATAGTCGTCCAGGGTTGCCTTCACGCCCTTCCAGATCTGATCCTCGCCTTGTGAATCAAGCCACAGAGAATACTGCAGCGGTGTCAGCTTGTTCCGCTGTAAGGGCGAGTGTAGCTCATCCGGCCCTCGTGAATATAGGTGGTGGAGGATCACGCTGGGTGGCAAGTCCTGAAGGAGTGGAGACTTGTCAAGCTGAGATGTCTCCAGGAATAGGACGGGGCGGAATGCACGTAATGCCCGGTATGGCGAGCCCAGCTGCTCCACTGGAAACAGATTCTGACCGACAGCTAGCTCCAGCTCGGCCATGTCCCTAGCCATTCTCAACTTCCCTGCTTCAGAGAGTGGCCTGACAAGAGAAGCGTGTCTTATGAAGAATATAAGGATCCTTGAGGCCATCCTTCTAACCATTATGGTACATATGGTCTCCGAGCGGGAGGCTGATGATGGCAGAAGCTTTGACAAGAACTCGTTGCGGAAGTGGACGGCACACTTCTGAAGCTCCTCCATGTAGGCTGATGCATTATTGTCCATCGCTCCATCCATTCCATCAGCTCCAAAGTCCTGCTCGTGCATTTGCAGAATGCATGATTCCAGACGATCGAGCATTGCTTGGAATAGGGAGGTCACCGAATCACAAGCAACCCCATATATGACCCCGAGAGATGGGGAAAGGACTTCAGAAGCAACATTTGGGAGTGTTGACAGGATGCTTGAAATACGTGTGTGAACCTCGTGGAGATGTAGACACAGAGCAAAGTTTTTTAATTGAGCTGGAGTCACTGTGCCAGTAACTTGACGGGCTTCAGGGCCAGTAGAAATCTACATTTGAAGCAAAATATATGTCAGCAAATGTGCACAATGATGGAAGTGATGCCAATAACTGCACAAGTGCATGCACATATACAAGGCAGCACATACGAGGAAAGAAGAGAGGCATTATCAAATGCATATGAAGGATAGACAGACAGCGAGACTATAAATAAGAAAATGAAATAGAAGACTGTCATCTAGCAGCACCAACAGGTATAGCCATTGCAGTTATAGGCTCAGATGATGCGTGCCCCTTTTACTTCCCTGGAAAGGCAATCCAGCCTTTCTGTAGGAAAAGATTGAGGGACAGCTGACACTACTGAATGGGAATGCACATGAAGACAGGGATACATTAAGCAGTGTGCTACAGGACAGCATTTTCTCATGATTTCTCCTGTTTGATGTACTGTATTTATTTTCTTCCTTTACTTGCAGCATTCAATACATATGTAACAGAACAAAAAGTTTAGTCAATGAAACCAACAAGAAAACACTACTTTTATGGATGCAACCACAGCTACCACAACCCGGGGGCAAGCTGACTCAAACAATCACAGACCTGACTAAAACCTGCATATTTATTGGTCTCAATGAGTAAGTTTGATTTTCCGACAAGTGTGAGCAGGAGTTTTGAAGTCCAGAAGATGAGAAGAATCAAACTATGAGCGGCATCTAGTAATAAAGGTCAGGACGGGAGGTGACTGATTAGGTTCCCACTCAACTCAGGAGTGAAAAACCAACCCGCTCAAGACAATGAGCTAGCAGATACAACTATAATCGCCTAAGGAGACCATTGATTTTCTGCTTCTCGGGCATGCGGACACCATGCGTATGGCAGAAGCCAAGGGAAAATGCTTCTCCCTAGTTGGAAGGGATTAAGATCAAAGCATCTTTAAAGCTGAAGCACAACTGCTCAAGCCCATCGACACATGTCCCAAAGCCAAGGTTGGAGAAATTCAACAATGTGGAAGAGCTAAAAGCCTAAAACGATAGCAAAAACAAGTATAGACAAGTTTCAAACACATTACTGGGAACTTATACTCAATGCAGCCTGACATGAGGAGCATTTGTTAAAATTTGATGAATAAATTGAGAAAGCAAAAACTACCTACAGACTTGCAAAAATAATTAGTAGAAAATAGTGTGCACCTGATATTCAGCTCTTTGTGCTAAAAGAAGCAAGATCTTTCCAATTTCACGCAGAACAAGAAGCAGCAAATGCCCATGAGTTCGCACAACTTCAATTTCCTCTTGGATGCGAGATATTAGCCTTGATATTTGATCCTTCGATGGTATACTTCCACGGTTCGACATAGGAAATATGCTATTGATGTAATCAGAAAGGCGACTCTGACTGAGAGCCAAAAAGGCAGTCTGGAATATCTGAATGGCTGCAACCATGTGATCTTTTCCTTCGGGAGTAAGCGCTGGAAGGGTACCCTTAACATCAGTATCTCTTGAAATCCTCTCAAGAAGGTTCTCAATCATTGAGAACAGTCTAGGATATCCTAGAGTAAATATTTCCTTGACAAAGCTTGACGCAGTAAAGACGGATTTCAGCTGACTTGCAAAGGCCTTAACAATTGCATCCCATACTCTCTCTGTCAACAGAGGCTCACCCTCCTGCAAAAGAATTTCTGTCAGTAGAAGTTCAAGCACATAGAACAAATAATTATTTAAGAAAGAACAAGGAAGGGATCAAGACACAGGATGTGCCTGTTAAGTGTTAGCGCCATACTTTGGAAACAAGCGAACATACCAAATATACTAAACTATCGTTGCAAGTGTAAACAAATTTGAGGCAATGTAGGAACTAGGAACAGTGACATAGAAAAATTTAGAATCTGATTGCAGATAAAACATGGAACACCCCACT